GTATCCCTTATATCATTTTTTCCATCTATTAAAGCTGTGAAGCTCTGCAGCTAAAGGCTAATGAGACAATAGCAAATGGCTTGGATTGACATCGCAAGGCAATTGATGCAAAAGGTTCTGTTCATCTTGAGGTAATTATAGTCATATGAAAAGCTTTAAAGCTGCATAATTTGTAGATAATCAGTTCTCTATTTGGCATTAGGGCTTTTCTCTCAGTTATCAGTGTGAATATGAGTGTTAGTAATGCGATCACACTCACTCCGCACCCACAAGAAAAAAACATTCTCGCTGGTTCTCACCCAATTTCTGCATGCAAGAGTGCAGGCGTGTCTCCAATAACAGGACTCTCTGCCGGAGCTCTTCATAGTCGTAGGCTCCCATCTCCTCCTGGATGGCCATGAGCACCAGCGACAGGTTCCTCACCTCGTCTCTGAGCCGCAGGATCATCTGCGCGTCCGTCTTATACTGCTCCAGCACCGGCAACAAGGGGAGCAGCTGAGTCACCTTGTCCTTTAGGTCCTAGTAGATAGACAGAGAAGGAACAGTTAGGCTTCATCTCATTTCACTTCTGTTATTGGTTCAGTTCTTCGGCAGATAAGAAACCAAACAGAAAATTGGCTGCAGTTCACCGGTTGTGTCCAATCCCATGCAGCCTGGAAAGGGTAGGGAAGATATGCGTGCTCTTCGATATCACCTTCAATGAAGCAAATCAAGGAACAGCCATTCAAGCTTAAAGTGTACGTCTGATTCAATTTCCTGTGCGTATGCTAAAATATCAGGTTCAACTGAAAGAAGTAAACTTGAACGGTTTTCAAGCGCCCTTGGAATTCAAATTGGTGCTACAGAACTTTTTGTACCTGTCCCTGGTCTTACGGACATCATTATGATACTATATCTGGGGGAAAAACATAGAATCATATATGTCATTCCCCTGGAGGTGGGTTATGCTCTACAGTAGCAGCATGTTCGCAGCAAATATAGTTCATCTGTGTGTTTTTTGCTATGCAACTTTCCACACACTATACCCATTTCCAATGATCTATTGGTTAAGGGGAAAAAAAAACATGGTTGGAGTTTATTCATTTGGAAGAATTTGTTATGATATCCAACTCGGGGCTGTTCAATTCTGGAATATGTTGCTTCCTGAGATTGCGCAAGAACGTGATGCTGTCTTTATACACTATTGAGCTTCATCGGTTAATGTAAATAAAAGGCTCGCGTTAATCTCTTCGCTGTTCTCCATGTGTAGCTAGCTAGCTAAGCTACTCTCAGGTTTGTGGAGATTTGGCGGCGGTGTGGCGTTTCAACATGATGCCACTCTGACTTTCTGTTTCAGAAGGAAATACAGGGCAGTGGTAGCTCAGTGGTTAAGGTGTTGGTCTACAAACCACAGCACCACCAAGCTGCCATTGTTGGGCCCTTGAGCAAGGCCCTTAACCCTCAATTGCTCAGATGCATGAAAGAGATAAATGTAAATTGCTCTGGATAAGAGTGTCTGCCAAATAACATGAATTTAATGTCAATGTAAATACATCAACATACAGAAGCAAATCACAACTAAGAAGCCATTTCAAGGGGAGTTTAACTAAAATATTTAGCATTTAAATCCGTCCTAATCTATACAGTATGTTGAGAGTTCAATTTAAAACTGGTGATGTATAGAGTTCCAGATGTATCATAGTAAAGTTCTCACAGATTTGGTCTTAGGTTTAGGTTGGGGCTTGTGCAATTTCATACGATGACAATCCAGTATCTAGTACACCAATCCAGTATCAACAGGAAACACTACACCCATTATTGTTACATACAGTAAAGTATCGGGAGTATCGGCGACACTTTTCCCCGGTCAAGATTGGAGTTTATCCTGAACACTGGGCGCAACAACCATGGATATCATGTAACTTCATCTCCACATACACACCAGCATTTTTTGAAAGGAAATTTGGAGAAACCAGATGAAACCCATGTGGATGTTGGGGGAAAAACATGCACAGACAATAATCCAAAATCAGGATCGAACTCCAGACCATGAAGCTGAACTGCGGAAAAGTTTCAGAGGAACCTATTTACATATGGTCAGATTGGTCATAGTTGAATAGTAGATAAATGAACAAATCAGATGGCTCGTGCTTTGTAATAAAGCTATTCAAGGGTGTTGGTTTGGAAATTTAGCATGGCAGTGTGATCAACAGACAAAAGTAACAGTACATGTTGATGACTTACGGATATTATGACTACATTGGAGAAGTGTAATGTAGACATGAGACCGAACACAAATACATCATCTGTAATGAACAGATAATGTGTTCTAAACAGATACAAGTATGAACAGGAGGCAAACTATGTGTCATTTATTTATTTTCTTGCCAGAAAGGTTCACAAGGCATCTGTTCGAGACTAGAGTTTTTTTTAGTTTTTTTATCAAGACTGGGATCCTGTGAGACACAACGAAAAAAAGAGTTACAAAAGCAGGAGGTTTTTGCTTTTAAATGGTCAGATATGAAACTTGCGGTACAAATAAAAAGACCACACATTGACGTGAACACAAAAAATGCATTTACAGCATTCATTCATCCTTAGAAACTGAACTGTCTAGTCAGTGTTGGAGTCCATTAGTCCGCTGGTTTGTTTATAGTTTGGGAAATAAAACCAAATAAATTAGTCAGAAAATGGCATGGGCAGGTTTATATATGAAAAAAAACAAACCACAAATCCCCTTCCAGATTAGGGCACGCCCACTTTGGGTTTAAATTTAAATGTAGATTCAGCTTTGAACAATAAACGGATACAGATATAGATTGTGGCGTTGCGTAACACCTCTAGTGTAAGGTATATGCAATGCTGGAACTATGTAAATTGATGAGAATGTAAACTTGAACTTATATTTGCTTTAAGCTACAATCAGCAATCAATCTACAGTCAAGTACAAGTCAACGGTCTGCTATGAAGTTAGTGGGGCAGCTGTGGCTCAGGTGGTTGTCCAGCAATCGTAGGTTTGGGCGGAACAATTCCCGGCCCACGTGACTCCACATGCCGAAGTGTCCTTGGGCGAGACACTGAACCCCGAGTTGCTCCCAATGGCAAGTTAGCGGCTTGCATGACAGCTCTGCTACCATTAGTGTTGTGTGTGTGTGTGTGTGAATGGGTGAATGAGAACCAGTGTAAAGCGCTTTGGGTAAAAGCGCTATATAATTGCAAACCATTTAAAAAGTGTCATGACGGCTCATGATTCAGTTTCTGCGTATTGTTATGACTTCACTGCGCACTGAGGCATGAACCCTCACAATGCTGACTTGCTTCAAATTGATGACTGTCCGTGTGGATTTCGCACACAGCTGTTGAAAATATGTCCTCACTAGAGACTTATTTGGTTTCTGTCTTGGTAGAAAAAATGTTTGCAGTCAGTAAGCCCATATGGGAAATATCCACATGTGGAATCTGTGAGAAAGGACTTGGGAACAGATGGAGCAGTAGATCGGATTAATAATTAAAAATGAATGCGGATGTACAAAACAGCATGCAGTCAGGGAATGCATGCTTTGGGAGAGAGGGAACTGTGTGTGCCTTAGGCTGTTAAACTGGGTAGTGTGACAGTGCTCAACAACATGGGCATGTCCAGTCCAGCAGTTTTCATTTTAGGTTGTGATTCTTCTGCCTGGTGTTACAACCCACGGCTGTTAAATGCTTCTGTCAACACTGTCCTTTGACTATGCACGCAATATCAATTCTGGGTAGTTTGGTGGATGGTTCAGGTGGTAGAGCGGGTTGTCCACTAATCGTAGGGTTGGCGGTTCGATTCCCGGCCCACATGTCTCCACAAGTGTCCTTGGACGAGTCACTGCACCTCAAGTTGCTCCCAATGGCAAGTTAGCTCTGCTCCCATTGGTGTGTGAGTGTGTGTGTGTGAGAATGAGAACCAGTATAAAGCTTTGGAACCACTAAAGTTAAAAAAGCACTATATATGTGCAGACCATTTACCATTTACCATGATTTGATTCCTTGATCTGTAAGGTTAATGCCATCGCACATGGTTCAAGCTGTACCCAAGTCCACACCTCTGGTTTAGAAGGATGAAATATCAGTTTCCTGGTCCATACCTGGGTTCAAAGACACAGATTAAACATACCAAACTGAAGGTATCTCATCCTTAAATGCTGGAAAATAAAATATAAATGTGATAACATCTGGGGACATGTTTGAAATGTCTGCAATTACTCGGCATGTTGAAAAACTAAGTGAAGAGCATCAGTGGGCTTGATGATTTCTCTAACCAGTGATTAGTGGCATTCAGTGAACTCTAGATGATCACTTTCCCTCCTCTGTTTTTTTTTTACTTCACTCAAGATCCCTCTTTCCTATCCGATTCAGAGTGGTGCCAGCCTTGCAGAATTGATCTCCAGTGAACCTCTGATTGGACCTCTTTTGATCCGACTTTATCTGCTCAACTGAACCAGTATTCCTCTTTTCAAGTGCCAGGACTGGTTTCTTCATTTCAAGCTCCATCAGCTCTTTCAGTCATGGTGTAAGTACGGGAATTGTTGAGCATCAGCATGGGCATAGTTAAGGGGTGGCCAGTCCCATTTTAATGTATAGCATGGCCACCTCAGACATTAATATTATTGTTTGTTGTCAGTGTGCTTACCAATGCCATATGATGCAAAACTAAAGGACTTGTTAAATTTTGCTGTGAAAGGCATCAGAGTAAATAACAATGGAATGCCCACTTCAACATCCATCCATCCATCCATTCATTTTCTTTACCGCTTATTCTTTACAGGGTCGCAGGGGGAACCTGAAGCCTTTCCCACATGATTTGGGGCAAAAGGTAGGGGACACCCTGGGCAGGGTGCAAACCCATGGCAGGGCACAATCACACAAACTATGGACAATTTAGAGATGTCAATCAGCATTCAACACATGCCTTTGGACAGGGATAGGAAACCGGAACACCTGGAGGAAACCCAGAAGCACAGGGAGAACATGCAAACTACACGCCAACAGGGCAGAGGTAGGAATCGAACCCATAACCCTAGAGGTCCGAGGCAAACGTGTTAACCACTAAGCCACTGTGCCGCCGCCCACGTCAACATATCTGGGGAATTCGAATGTTCATTTCATTATCGAATGATGAGTATTGTCAACAAGTGTAATGTCCCACAGGTACAAGCACGTATAGCTAGCTAACAGAGAAGTCAAACAATTCTCTGGTCCCACGGACCACACCAAATAAACAGGCGAGCAAACATTGGTCAAACTTGTTTATTTTTTTATTTAAATGAGATTCATTATTTGGAGGCATAACACTGGATCTTCTTCAGACCAATATTAGCTACAGTTAGCTAATGATATTGAAATTGTAATGCTAGCATACTTCATAAGATGTAGCCTAATGTTATGTTCACTATGCCTTTTTTAGTAGCTTGCTAGAAAAAAATGTAACTTATGTGTGTGGCGTTTCTGTCCAGTAGGACTCCTACTCATTCCATACACAGATTGGTGGAGCCTCATTATGTCATTTTCCATACATGCAGGTTAGTATTTTGCCACCCAAAGAGAGTCATTGGGTCTAACATGGCCACCTCACTGTAAAAGGTCTGGCTGGTGCAATAGCTCACACATCATGAACAGGATTAGGTATCTAAAGGGGAATGAAGAATCAGTTGTGTATCTGTACTATTGGTAGCCACAGGAGGTGTGGCTGCTTCTTCCTTGTTAAGGTTTGTTGTAAATCTGGTGATGGAGCGCCTCTCAGACTAGCGGCGCTGCATCATAAATCTCATTTTCCCGTTTTGAGTCATGAAAATTTGGTCTCATTAATCTGCCGGCCTGCCACAGGCGACTTTGAGCTCCCCACATTCATCAGTTGCTCGTGGTAAAATAAAGCCTGCCTTCTGCAGACCAGCCCTTTGAACCAACACACAGCACCACAGCAAGACTTCCCTGAAAAAGTGACTTTTATTCTTTCTTCACTGAAAATCTATTGATAGATGAACTGCGATGCTGAGGACATGTTTTGAATAATTCTCTTTGCAATGATGATTACAGAGGTGAAGTGACAGGATTGAGTTTAGACTCGTAGAAGACTGGACCCTTGAGGCAGACACACTATCCCCTATCCCAGGCTCTCCTCCTATCATTAGGCAAGACGGACTTGGGTGGAATATTAAAACCTGCCTTAGCATACGCGCTAGAGCTCAGGCTAATCTCGGATCCTGGAGGATGAGTGGGTCGCCGAACGCGACATGGTTTTAAGGAGATGAAAAAGTGCGCTAATCGCAGGCCCTTCTTAGTCTTTTGGAGATAAGTGGGGCATAACTGCTAATATGTGTGTGTGGCTTATCACTAAAAAAAAAAAGAAAAAAGAAAAAAGGATGCAGGAGCAGAGAAAGGCTTTTATCCACACAAACACACACACACACACACACACACCCACACACTCATGTGTGCAGAAGAAATAATTATTACAGAAAGAAACCCTAAATCTCGCTTTAGGTCTTCATTTAAATGCCTTTGAAATCCCTCTATGGATCAGTGCTAAAGGGCTTGGTTAAACACAGAAATGAGTTGTGTGGGTCTTTAGTGTTTGTGCATCTCTGCCATTTGCAAAGAGCTGTGCATACACCATAGTGCCTCAGTGCCTGCACAGTTTGGCCTTTTAACCAGTGTCAACTAATCAGTGAGTCACCAAACCTTACACAAGCTTAATCAAGGACGTTTTCACCTCCAGGTTCTAAGGTACTGCCTTAGGATAGGAGAGCGACTGAACGGTTCTTGGTAAAAAAATTTTTATTTATAATCTAATGTCATTTGCGAAGTAAGATCACACAGCTTTATATACAGTATTTATGACACCCAGTTTATCATGATGCTGTTCCTGTTATTCGGTTTTTCAGTTCTTTGTAATGTCCCATGTGTTCAGTGTACTGTTATTCTACCAGAACTGGACCACCTGCACATATACCTGTGCCACTATACAGTTATATATATATATACACACACACACACACAGCATTTTCCTCTATAAAGTTTCTGAAAACTGCATGAGTGCCAATGTGTTGTGAAAACCCCATCTCAGACGCTTCTACTCAGGAAACATCAGACAACCTCGGAGACGTGAACTGGAAGCGAGACATTTGTATAATCCGTATGGATAGCCCAGAAAATCAATCATGTGCATAAATATTGACACAGCATTTGGAGTTTACAACCTCTTAAAGTGGTGGCTTGTTCACACCATCACAGAAAGGTTTCCACTACAAATACCGTTTAAAACCATCAGGTAACATTACCATTATTGGTTCTTAGTGGTATCCACTGGACATAACATGCCACCAATAGAAGGCAACAAATTACCAGTAGAGACCCATAGGGACATTTACCGTTTCCATTAAAACCAATACAATTCCCATTATAACCATTAAAACCGTAACAAATGGTTAATTTCTATATGCTGTCCATTTGATGGTTCTAGAATGATATCATCGAGAGTATGTCATTTGTATCAGATTGCATCTGTCTTTTTTTGTGTGTGTCATTGTGTCACGCTAGAGTGATTCTGGTGGGTTTTAGAGCAGCTTCACCTGAGTGACCCATCATGGAGGAAATAAGGATGTACAACCTCAAAGTGTCTGACTCATTTCTGCTTTTGGGATGTTTATATAAACAAATAAAAACATAGATGTTCTTACCGAATGGACGGTTCTGTTCTTTATTAGTCATGATTTTGGAAGTAACGCTAGTCAGTGAGCTGGATGCTAGCTTTTGAAAATACAGAAGCACACTTTGCAAGGGACATATCGGATCAGTCGTGCAACGTCAATTCATAAAGGTAGCGCTGTGGTGGATGATGAGTCGAATAGTGGCTAGCTAGCAGAGCGAAACTGCTACGATCTTAGCTATGTTAAACAACACAGAGCAAGACACAGGAGAAAAAAAATCTTACAGCGCAATAGCATTCACGGGTCAGAAAGAGTTTAGAAATCAAAGTATAATCAATCCTTTGTGATGTGTTTCAGGCCAGCAGTGTAATCTCTGAATAATATTTAGTGGGAAAAGTGGATACTGAGGACGAATGGATGATTTAGTGTTAGATTTCACCCACCAGAATGCAAATCTTGACTTTATCAGCAGGCTCTGCGGTATAAAGTGCATTTCTGTATTTGTAATATACACAAAAAAAGTAACACTGTAGCAATATTCTGCTGCATATTACTCCAGCTTGCAGCATTTTATCTTTTTTTTAATCTATATATTGTGCTATTTATTTATTTATTTATTTATTTATTTATTTATTTATTTATTTAAAATACAAACAATTTGCTGTTGTTCATATTTTGCCTTGCCAGACCTCCATCTATATTTCAATTCAGCTCAAACGTATGCTACTGGAGGCTCGGCATTTCATCTCACTGTAAATACTGATATGGATATGGCGTCTCAGTGTATATACGAATGAGATTAGAATGAATATGGACTCGATACCTGAAAGCTCTTGGGGTTGAGGCTGCGTGGGTTTTCTGAAGCCGTCTTCAATCTGCCGTCCACCGTTTTCATCAGGTTCTCCGTGTCCCTGACATACTGTAAATCCCGGTACGTCCTTAAATCCAGCACCTCCATAGACTGGGTAATGTTCTGGACCTGTCAATCACACACACAGGGACACACTGAGGTCACTGCAAGTTAAGCCTTTGAGTTTGTTTGGGTCTGAAAGGATCATACGGCCTCAAGAGCTTTGAGCCGCTGGAAGATGTCTCTACATAAGCTCTACACACACACACACACACACACACACACACACAGTATGGAGTGCTATTATAAAAAAGAGCCAGTAGAAGCTGTTATTTTCTAAAGGCATCCTTGAGATCTCGTGCTGAGAGGGACTGACCCCAGGTGTCCTCATTAGTGTGTGTTTCATAAGACAGAGGTGTTTGAGCCTCACAGCTGGTGCCTGATCCCCCCCCACACACACACACACACGTTATCCGATTTGATAGTGTGTGTGTGTGTGTGTTTGTGTGTATGAGTTTCCAGTCCGGCCAACATTCACACATTTGATGTAGGAGGTCTACACTCTAAAATAAGTCAAAAGTGTCTTCTTTTGTTCCCCCTAATAAAAACTATAGATCAGCCAGTCGACATGAATCTGGACTGATTGCGTAGGCGTTCTGAACTCTCCAACATGAACACACATCACTTTACGTTCATGTTCATGTTCCCGTTCGAAAGATATCGTAATGTGGCACGCTCTCGCTTCCTGTCAAGGTAAAAGGAGAAATCTTGAGTTTGATTGTGAAATAAAATCTATAAATGGAGGTTTTACTTAGCTACCATTAGCCGTGTCGTGTCTATAATTCAGATTAGTTAACTGTATTTATTACAGATGCCCGTAAAGGACCTGTACAGGTCCCTCTAGCATTTTTGCTATTTTAAAATTAAGCAGAAATGAACGCGAAATCAAACTAACTCTTTGTCTGCAGATTTGGGCCAAGACCCGTCGAACATGAGTACAGCTAAAGAGGTCTCGTTTACCGACAAGCATCACTGCAGACGAGCGTGCAAAAACGATTTCACGCGATTGCGATTTCGCGGATTCGAGTAGATATCTACAAAAAAAAAATCAAATAAAAAAATCATCACTGCATCACAAGTTTTGGAAAGATCCGCAGCAAATGCAAGCGTTTTTGGCCACGACAGTCTCAAAAAATGTGCGAAATCCTGTACGGACTGAAAAAAAAAACAAAAAACGCCTCTTTCAGCTGTCCGTCTGCGAGAGAAAAGTGGCTTTAAATAAAAACAGAAGATTACATAGGGACACAATGTGTGGTTAGCTGATTACAGTTTTATGTAAAAAAATGTATGTAATATTTCAAATTACTGGGTTAATATAAACAACTATTCGATTATTAAACTTAGATCTAGATATTTTACTCATTTCTGTCTTTGATTTATTTATTTATTTACTTTGATCATGCAGCAGGTCCGGTAACGTTGCCGCTTCACAGCTCCTGGATCCCGGGTTTGATCCTGAGCTCGAGATACTGTCTGAGCACATGTGATCTGTGAGGTTCTCATGT